GTTGTTTGCGCCTTCAGAATGGCCTGTCCCTGTCCCACGGATCCAGCCTCCTTCTGAAGAGATACAGAAGGCTCAGAAGGCATGCTCGCAATATGCATTGTCACAGTGACACCTGAGCTTCAAGCAATTCCCCCGAGACAAGTGCAGCAAGCATGGCAACAAAGTGGAACACTGGCACATTGGTACAAGTTGAAATAGCCAGAAAACAGCATGTCCAAGTGGCTGAACGTATATGCTCCTTGAGAAACGTTGGCCGGCGCAACTGCAAGTCGAGCTCCTGAATACCCTGAGCCATCCAACACTTCTGCGCTGGCTGCAAAATTTGCAATGGAGTTACAATTATCTGGCTGCAGGCACGCCCATTGATATGACAGCACTGCATCAGGGTGCGAGGCCGCGACTGTAGCGCCTAGCTCAAAGCCACAGCCAACTCCCACAGATTGAGGCCCGCTGATCTCAAAGTCCAGTGTAGGGCTCTCCACTGTGATGCTAAAGGCAAGAGAGTCGCTCTCACCGACGGCACCCTCAAATGCCGCTGTGGCTCGCAGTTCATGACTGCCAGATGGCAGAGCATATGGTGCAAGGCGTAGGATGTTTGGCATCGCGGACAAGTCGGACAAACCTGCCTCTGCCAGAGTCATCCATGTTGCCGAATCCGAGGGTCGGTAATGCCAGGTGGTTGTCAGTTTAGCCTCAAGGTTGGACTCGCAGGTGCTGCCAATACTGGTGGTTACTTCGAGCTCCAAGGGATCGTCAAACTGGCGAACCAGCTGTGCTGGACCTGAGGCTTGAATGCTTGCGATCAAGGAAGCACTCTTCAGCAAAGTCACGGCGGCACTGGCAGTCGCATTCTGGCCGAGCCAGTTGCTGACTTGGACGCTCACATTTACCGTAATGCTAGCGCTGTCTCCTTCCACTGTAGCAAGAATCTCCTGCAAAAGTGTCGGGGAGAGAGTCAGGCTTGAGGCTGAGTCCTCGGTAGCAGAGTCCAGCAAGTTCTGCAAGGAGCCTGGACGGTCTGTCATCCACTTGATGTTAAGCGCCCTTCCAGCAGCACCGGATGCCTGCAGCAGGAGCACTACAGGATCGCAAGCTTGGGTAACGGATGGTGTGGCAGACAAGATGCTCACGACTGATGGCGCCTTTGACCTTGAAGTCACCGCAGCGGAACCTCTTGCAGTGTTCATGTGAATAATCTCACCCAAAAGCAGAGATGCTCCTTCACCCAGAGTCACGCGCATCTGTGATCCTATCACCTTGCAGGTGATGCCACTGCCAAGTGCATCCCGAGTGACATTACCGAAGGCGTCTGTGCAAGTGGTTGGAACCAGCTCCGCAGCAGTGACAACTCTGTGAAACGTCAAAAGCAGAGCAGAGAAATCCTCAGAAAATTCCGCAGAGACGAGACCTGGCAAAGGGCTCAAGGGCCAAGCATCGCTGGTTTCAGATCGCTGACTGCTTGCTGCAGGATCCGCACACAAGACAGACACCGCAAACATATAGCTGCGGCTTTGATCCAAGCCAGAAACTGTGCAGCTAGTCTTAGAGAGGTTCACAAGATTGGAACAGCCTGCTGGCGACAACTCAGAGCTTCCTGACAAGGCAACAACATGCCAAGCCAGGAAGGAGCAGTCATTCAACGGCCTCGCGTTCCACGTCAGCTGCACGCTTCCGTCGCCCAAATCAGTCCACAGAATACGCTCCGGAGCAGTTGCCGCAGTAAGGCTGAGGGCACTGCTCACCGAGACCTCACTTGCGGTGCCAGTTTCTGCTTGCACCGCAAAGGCGACCCCTTGTGCCATGCTGCTCGTAGTGTCCGGTGTCTCTGTCTCATCAACACCTTCAACCGTCACAGCAAACACTGTGGACACAGTGGAAAGTCGGCGAGAGGAGGAAAGCGTGGAACCAGCCAGCACCTCCACTTGTACCTTTGAGGCATCAACATTTAGCCGGGTCGCCGTATCACTGATGATGCGTGCAATCAGCCCTTGCTTGAGGTTGGGTGTCGACAGGACAGTGTTGTAATCCAGGTCTGACGTCATGCTGACGGAAAGCATTCGCCGCTGCGATGACTCCCAGTCTTGTGCGCTGGCCAGTGTTGAGGCTGGGGTGCTTGATGAACTGTAGCCACTACTTGACAAAGGGTCGGAGCAGCTGGTCTGCACTCGGAAGATGTAGGATGTGTCGGGTATCAGCGCCTGCGCAGTGCAGTGATAAGAGTTGAGGAGCGTCAGACCGGTGCATCCCTCCGGCCGGAACCAAGAGCTCTGCCCCACCACTTGCGCTTCAACCACGGACTCCACAAACTCGCAGTCATTCATCATCTCCGTCTGCCACGACACCAACAACCTCAGGAAGCAAACGCGTCAGACAAGCCTTAACAAGGGGCCTGAGGCAATATATCATCTACAAGTTCTACAATATTTCCTGAATCGGGGATCCCAAGTAAGGGAGCTGCGTCCGTGGCTTTCGCTCGTAACCCCGAATTGGTGCAATGAAAGTTGATTGCAAGGCGGCGGCGGTCATCTGTGTAACAAACAACGCCGATGCGAAACACGAAACAGAGTTCACCAAAGGAATGGGCAGCGTGCCACCCACCATCTTTTTGCAGCCTCTGCTTCCAGCAGCTTTGTAATGCAGGCTTTGCTGAAAAAGGAGCTTCATCACGCCATGGGTGTTCGGGTTATCAAACTGTGACAACTCAAACGGTCCGATGGAGATGGTCAGAGCCTGTGGAACAATGTTCAATCATCTTCGGGGTAGAAACACAGCACACTCTGACTAGCTTGCCAGCCAGCGGTCTGATTGGCTTGCCAGCTTGCAATCTACTCGGCCAATAGCTATTTAGCCACTTAGCCATAAATAGTTGATTTGCCAATGAGCTGCCCACCGGGAGTAGCCAGCTAGCCCATCAGCCAGCTAGCTGCTGGCAGCGCCAGCTGATGCGCTAGGTCGCTAGATTGTTACTACTTAGCTAGCTCATGATGTAGTGAGTTCGCATTTTGGCGAGCTAGTAGCGGAGTGGTGCCATTCAGGCTGACTGCCGGCCTGAGCCAGTTGACAAACAAACTCATTAGCTTGCTGTGCGACAAAGCTTTATTAGCGCTCTACTTCGAAAATTGCGAAAGGAGAAACATATTGACCTTCTTGCCCGCTCACTCCCTTGCTTGCTTGCCCTGCTCATCCGTCGGCCTACTAGCTACCGAACACCTTGAGACAATTGAGGTGCGACAAGATGTAGTCACATTGTTATATACATATATATATATATATATAAATGATGGCAGACCAGGTGATGGCATGTGAAGTTGTGACGGGTGAATTGATGACATCTGGTGTGATGTCGCGATGACTATTGATAGGCATTCGTGAGCTTATGCGATCTGACGAAAAGCTGCTTTGCTTTGTTTTTTTCGGGGGTGGCGGGGGGGGGGGGGTAAGGGGAACCAATACGTGAAACCAAACTAAAACTCGTGTTTGTTTAGCAATTTCCACTTCGCTCGCGCAACCCGCTGCAAATTTTGGGCAGGTCGACCTTCGAAGCGTCTTGTGTTTTCAAGTGGGGTCTTTTAGCTTGCGCAACGATCAAGAGGTCAACCCTCTGCGGACTTTCGGTAGCTCGACCTTGAACAACTCGGTGGTTGTTTGCGGTTTTCACTTTGCTCGCGAAACCCTCTGCGGACTTTTCGGGGTCACCCTCCAAAACCCCATGGTTTGTTGTGTTGTTCACTTTCTGTAACTGGAGCGAGAGAGAGAGAGGGAGAGAGGGAGATAAAGAGCAAGAGAATGCGAAAAGAGAAAGACAAAGCAAAAGAGGAGGAGAGCAAAAGAGCAAGATCAACAGGAAGAGAAAGAGAAAGAATAAGACGAAGAGGAATCCAAAAGAAGAAAGAAAAATAGGAAGAAGTACAGCAACGGAAAGAGAAGGAGACAAAGAGACCACCAGAAAGAGCAAGAGAAAGAGAAAGAGAAAAAGAAAAGGATAGAGAGAGTGAGAAGGGGAAAAGAAGCGTGCTCCAAACTGTAGTTCTCATATGATTGAAACGTTCGCCCCCTGGCTCTGGCGTACTGACCAGGTATATGCACTTGCATGCAGGCAGGATTATGTAGCCTTACATCCATCTTGACAGAACCAAGCGTCAAAGACCTTTAGGCGCTGCTCCGGCTTCAATCGTGTGGCCATGTTCCTTGTCATCTGGTTCTATTCTCGAAACCCCGCTGAAGGCTCGCTGAGAGAGGACTGGGTGAGCTGTCCACATGCCGAGACCAAAATTTAGAGATTGACAGACCAGGCCCCGCGGTTTTGAGTGTGTCTGTGTGTGTGTGTGTGTGCGCTGTTGAGGGCTTGCCTTTCTAGTTTGGTTTACAGGGAACCCACAAAGGGACACTACCATTTTCGGGGTCCGCGTGTTTTGACACATACCAACTTCTAGGAAAAAGGACGTCGGATCTGTAAAAGGACCCACCCAACAAGACCATTCAGAGGCCACCTACACCATGCAAATGCTCATGGTTCCCTTTTTTAATAACCCAAGGGCACATCACACTAAAAATCAGACTTTCAGATTCTGATTGATATTCAGTCTACAATAAAATATCACATAGTTTTGGACGAGACCCCAGAAAGGGTACACCAGTATCACCCATGCTGTGGGGCATCAGTATACATCAGTACCACCCATGCCGTGGAGCATCAGTATCACCCAGTTGTCTTGAGTTCAATGATGTTGACCCTGGGTGAATAGCCAAAGAAACAAACAATTGGGGGCGGGTCCTTAAAATGTGAAGGTTTCAGCACACAGAGTCCTCTTGCCCCATGAATTTACCCGGGGCTTAGCGAGAACCTGGGCCGCGCACACAGAGGAGCTGGGAAGTCGGGCTCGAACCTGTGTTGGAGCAGCGGCCGGGAGAGGATGCGTCACTGCCGTCGCGGAGATCTCGCTCCAGAAACTCTGGGTCTCTTCGAGGCTGCAAACCACGCGCACCTTGAACTGATATGGCACGTCGCTGCTCAGCTCCGTCGCCAGGCAGCTTTGGGAATTCAGGTTCACCAAGTTTTGGCAACCCTGAACTGCGAACCAGTCTGAATTGGAGTCTTGTGCTGAAACTTCGTACCTCTGGAAATGTGAAGAACAGTCATTCAGCAACCCGCGAGTCCAGGACACCATAAGGCTGCTTGTAGGATTTGTGCTCGGCGAGCTTGCTCTCACATCCTGGGGCTGTGCTGCGCGCACGGCAACTCGATGATCTGCCACAGGGGCATAGACTCCATTCAGCTGCAGGCCCAGAACGTTCCAAGCATGTGCCACGAATCCTGTTGCATTTGTCGGAATGAGTGTATTCACAGGAACGTTGAAGGTTGCATAAAGTCCGCCACTCACCTCGAAATATTCCCACATGCTCCCACCATTCGTAGCGCAATCTCCAGTGCAATCTGCGCCAATACGGATGTGTTGAGTGGTCTCGATGTTGGCAGGAATGACGATCTCCGGGCATCCCTGATTGTCTGCGAAGGTCACGGAGTTGGAGCGGACTGTGATGGTCACTTCAAACCACGTGCCCAAGGTGCAGGGAACCGATTCATGGTGTCCGTCAGAGGCCACCAAGACCTTCTGGGATCCAAGGAACATAGCTCGTACCCCGCTTGCAACCCCGAAGAGGCTGGCATCTGAGCCGCCGATCTGCACCACCATGTGCGCCAGCGCGCCGCTGGCCTTCTTGGCTTTGGTCTTCACCGTGAAGGGCGGGGCAAAGCGCCGCGCCAGGGCGAGGTGGCTGGTGGCGTAGGGGCCCCAAAACACCGCGGCCCCCTCGGACACGGACCAGGTGTCTGAGTCGGCGGCAAACCAAAAGGAGGAATCGAAGAAGGCAAAGTCGTCGTGAAGCAGACTCCCGGTGTCCAAAGCAGCAAAAGGCGCCTCAGACATACGACGCTCACTGGCATCAGCCCAAAAGATGTGGTACTGCGAAAAGGTCGCTTCCTCCTCCGGGCTTGCTCTGGTGATTGTCAAAGCACCTGCAATGACACCTCTGCCACCATCAACATCTGCAAACTCAAGACCCACTGGACCCACAGTTGGACCTGAACCAAATTCGTGGAGGGTGTAGAGAATTGGCACCAGGCGCGAGTAGAGGATGTCACCCACCAGGCTCCAAATGCGTAGCCTGGCTCGATACTCCCGTTGCTCAAGCCTGGGTCCTCCCAGCTCCACAGAGATCGTGGCCGAGCCCTGGGCTGGTACCGTGACGGCCCCGGTGGTGGGCGCGGTCAAGCGGGCCCATGCATGATCGCTTGCCATGACAAGCGCAGCGTGTGCATTCAGCAAGGCTCCAGTAGAGACCTTGCTTGCAAACTTGTCAAACCTCACTGCGGAATCCAGAATGAGCTGACGCAGTTCCCGATATGTGAGCGTAGGTACGTAGTCAAGGACCAATGCAGCGACGCCCGAGACATGCGGGGTTGCCATCGATGTCCCGGAAAGGCTTGCATACCCGTTGTTTGGGTAGGTGCTATAAATCCTGGATCCAGGGGCAGCAATATGGACAACATTGGTGCCCCAGTTGGAGAAAGACGAGATGTCGTTCTGACTGTCTGTGGACGCCACACAAATCATGTTGGGCAAGTTGTAGTTGCAAGGATAGCTTGGTGTGACTTCGTTGTTTTGCGCATCGTTGCCTGCAGCCACAATGAACAAGTGGTTCTGGTTGGCCGCTTCGGTGATGGCAGCACGAAGCGCTTCAGAGACGCCGCCGCCCCCCCAGGAGTTCGAGCTGATCTGCGCACCCATTTGCACAGCGTAGTCCACTGAACGGATAGCATCTGAAGTGGAGCCTCCGTTGGGACCCAGGAACTTCAGAGCCATGATTTGTGGCTTCCAGGAGACGCCGGCCACACCCACCGAGTTGCCGGCTTCTGCACCAATGGTGCCTGCACAGTGCGTTCCATGGCCATTTGAATCCATGGGATCACCGTTGCCAGCATAGAAGTTGTAACCATACACATCATCCACAAAGCCATTGTCGTCGTTGTCGATGCCATCGCCCGGTATCTCTCCAGGATTTGTCCACATCTGATTGCGGAGATCCTCGTGATTGTAGTCCACCCCCGTGTCGATCACCGCGATGATCACGCGGCCATTCAAACCCTGGTGAATCGCCCAAGCCTCCGGTGCATCAATGTCCACATCGTTGCCCTGGTGCAAACCCCACAACTCGTCGAATTCGTCGTCATTGGGAGTGGAGCGAGCGTTGCTCGAGGCGCTCTGGGAGCGATGCATCCGGCCAACACGAGGGCGTGGAAGGGGCTTCTTGCCTGGGCTCAGGAACAAATCCTCCTCCACCTGGATGGTGTTCCCAATGGCATGCCATGTCTTGTCTTCCTCCACAAAGGCAACCAGCGGGTCGTTCTCCAAGTCCACAAACAGTTGGCAGTAGCTCTTCAGAGAAGTGTTCTTGAGCTCTGCAAAGGCCAGACCCCCCAAATGATCAAAGCTCTTCACCTTGGCCCCGTGTCTGCTCTCCAAATTCTTGGCGTGCAAGCGCCTGGCCTCTTTCGTGTCGGCCTTGGCCTTGAAGATGAGGCGGTTCTTGCCCACCGGCAGGGAGCCCTGCAAACAGGCGGATGGCAAGGTGTAAGCGCTGGAGCTGCTAGAGCTGGAGCTGGAACTGGGGCTGGAGCTGGAGCCAGCTGCACTGGAGCTCCCTTCTGCGGAGCCTGTGTCAAAGAGCAGCTCCACGTTGAGCGTGACACCGCTGGTGCCGGCGTTGTTGATGGTGACGCTGCCCGTGACCGTGGAGTTGGGAGTGCCCAAAATGTCCAGGCTGGAGGGCGACAGCGTCAGGCCGGCATTGTCCACCAGCAGCGTGGAGACGCCCTGAGGCGCAACACCCCCCGGACCTGCTGCGAAAGCCAGCAGATGGCTCGCGCCAGAATGGATTGCTGTCTGGGCAATTGGCACATCCACCGACAACGCTGAGTCTGCCAATGTGACAACCCCCAACATTGGCACGCCCTCAATGGCGTGAGTTGCGTTCATTCCCCAGTACACCACATAGGCCGTGACCCCATCCTCGCTGGCTGCACGCCTCACTGTGCATGTGCCTTGAATGACACCTATGCTGGTGTCCTGATCTTGGCATTGGACTGACTGAGGCGTAGCCATCGGAGGATGGTAGTCCTCCAAGGGAGTTGTGACTCCAACGTCCATTTCACCTCCAGCGCCACTTGTGACCACGAGCAGCGAAACGGCACCAGTGGGGATGGTGCTTTGTGGAACTGGAATGCTCAGCACCTCGGATATCGTGCCTTCGTATTGAAACACCCAGCCTCCTGTGGTCACAGAGCCATCAGACCGCCAAACGATCTCGTGGCTTGATGCCGGAATGGGGATGTCGGCTGGGAGCTGGTTGCCAGAGTATGGCGTGCCCATGATCTGCAGGAAGTCGTAGCCGGCCTCGGTGTTGAAGAAGGTGAAGCGCAAAAGGCCAGGCCCTGTGATCACGATGACTGCCTCCTCGTTGTTGTTGTACGAGGTACCGCGCGACACTTCGTAGGCAGCTGCCACCGATGTGATGGAAATCTGGGCGCATGAGTCGCCGCGGCAAGATGGCCTGGCCGCACCTGCTGGAGCGGGCGCGGAGCCAACAAAGCTGATCTTCTGTTGGCCGTTGGAGAAGTACAGGTTGTAGCTCTCTATGGTAGACTCATCGCTTGCCCTGACAAGTTGAGCGCTACCGCTCACCACTCCCTGGGCAGAGTCGGTGTCTGTGAAGCTCAGGTTCTGCACAGTTTCTTGCGCCGGGTTGAAGTCCACGATCTCGGTACTTGCAGGTCTGGGCGCCTCCCCTTGAGCAGACGCAGAAAACACCAGCAAATGTGTGGCATTCGTGGGGAGGGCAGTCGCGCTCAGGACTGCGGTCAGGTTGGTGCCAGGTGACGATGCGACCACTGACAATAACATGTTGGCATTTGGAAGGCGAGTCGTCGAGGTCATCCCCCAATAGATCCGATACTCAAGCAGTACCGTGTGCTGACGAGCCTGCAGGATGGTGATGGTACCTGCCACTTGTGCTCCTGCGGAGTCTTCATCTTCGAACCACACGTTCTGCGCTACCTGGTTCGGAGGCGCATAGTCTACAACGGGCGTCGAGGCACATGCTTGCCTGTATTCCGCTCCGTTGGCCACTGAGAACGCCAGCAGTCTGCTTGCTCCCGCGGGCAAGAATGTACCATTGGGTAGCGTGTGGCCCACGTCACCAAACGAGCCTTGGGCTTCGAAGGTGACGACCCAGCCATCGCGGGTCACGCTATAGTCGCTGGTCCACTCGATCTCCTTGGGCCCCGGGCCCAGTGCGACACTGGCGGGCAGTGCCTCCCCTGAGAAGGAGGCCTCGGTTGCTCGGTTTATTGACGACCAAGCTACCTGGACCATAGACTGGATATTTCGACCCATCCTCATAAGGCTATGAAGTTCATTTGTGGGCCCTGTGCTGGACATCATTTGTAAAATTCATGGTCATATATGCAAAAGGAAAACACGACATGAAAGGAAAATCGCTGGCCTGGTCCACCCTCAGCATGTCGTAGCCCATCTCCGTGCTGAAGCGGGAGAAGTGAACCGACCCGGGCCCATCCACGGAAATCTTGGCATGCTCGTCATTCCGATAGCCTGAGTTGCAAGTGACCAGAACACACGGCATTCTGCCTTTCTATAATACCAACATGGACCATCCCCATGACAAGTGTTCATCTGGAAGAGAATTTTCTTGGTATTGCAGAAAGTGGCCCCAAACCAAACTTTCCAATGATTCAGACTTGGCTTGAAAGTGTATTTCCCTTTGCGCAGCTGGGCAGCCGCTCATCCCTCGAGAAATCACATAGCGCCCCGACGCCTCTTGCGTGATGGTGATGTCTGAGCAAGCATTTCCCTCAATGCAAAGCGGCGCCCTGCCACTTTGGGACACGGCCACACTGGCGATCTGGGCGCCTGACAGGCAGGGGTTGGAATCGGGGTCTCCAATTTGTTCCCCATTTAAAGCATCCTCCCACGTTGGAATCGGCCCAGGTAATGTTTAAAACCATCTAGGTAGGATGTTGATATTTAAAACCATCTGGACAGTAGGAAATACAAGAACTAGCTCTATCCTCTGTTCCATGTATTGCGAAAGGCGAGACCCGGGCAAATATCGAGAAATCTGGCCTAGCGTGCTGCAGTTCCCGTCGCTGAAGTAGAGGTTGTAGGCTGAGATGCCGCTTGTGCTCGCGGCACGCTGGACGGTCACCGTGCCACCCACCAGCCCTGCAGATGCGTCCGTGTCCTGCAGGGGTGTCCCTACGTGTAACCAATCCCGGAAAATCCCTAGAGAAACTCACCATGGGCCTCAAAGACAAGGCCCCCGGGCGACAGCGTGTCATCCACATCCAGGATCTGCTGGGAGACACTTCGCAGGCCCCGGCCGGCTCTGGTAATGGCAAAGCCCAGCCTCCAGATAAGGGAATCAAGGTTCACCCAATCCCAACGTTTTGAGAAACGCCCAACTTGCTGGCGCTCACTAGGGAATGACCGAGTCCGGGTGTTGGGAATGAACCTAGGGATTAAAGGAAGCCATGGGGGATGCTGCTTTGTAGGGGTCGTTCCCTCATTTCCTGCTGAGAACCAGCAAGTAAAGTAGACCAAATAAAGAACACCAAAGGTGAAGAGGTGAAAGGTGGATTCGCTGAGCAGCAAGTGGGTGGCTGCAGACGGCAGCGGCGTGTTCGTGGCCATGGCAATCTCCAACGTACCAGACCCTTTGCTCACCTCAGCCAGCAGCTCCAGAGTCTGTGTCTCGGAAGAGCCCCAGTAGACCGCATAGCCGGTGACTTGCGTCTCATCCGATGCTCGGCCCAGATGGATCACTCCACCCAGCTCACCAGGAGAGGCATCCTCGTCAGTGAAGTTGATGGAGGAAGGCACGACATCCACAGGCGCGTAGTCCACAAGAGGGATGCTGATGCCGGATTCCATCTCTGCACCATGCATGGCGGTATACACAAGTAAATGTGTTGCAGATGACGGGATGGATTGAGAGCTCAGATTGTAGGTCAGGTTGCCTACAGAAGAATCTCCTGGAGACTGCAATCCGGTGTGAATGTGGATCCATGGAAGGATGGAAGCAATGCGCGCCCAAACACCCGGATACTGGGCTTGAGCGCAACCATATCCCCATGAGGTTGCTCCATGCAGTACATGCCTTCCATCTGCTCTTTGGCATACCAAGGGACCACCACTGTCACCCTGGCAAGCATCCACAATGCCCCCAGCAGCAGTTCCCTGTGCGCACAGCATGTCGTCCAGGATTTCGCCCGCATACCTGGCATTGCATTCAGTGTTGCTCAAAGCTATGACAAGACCCTCCTGCAGTCGAGCAGGAGTTGAGCCACCAGAGGAAAGAGTTCCCCAGCCAGTGATGTAACAGTCCTGGCCGACCTCAACATGAGCGTCTGGAAGGCAAGCTGTTCCAACACACTGAGTCATATCTACCTCTTGCTCGAGCTCGATGAGTGCAAAGTCATGAGACATGGTGTACGAATCATAGCTCTCGTGTGAGATGACGCGGTGGACGCTGTGTGTCCGCTCGTGCGCATCGGATGGGGAGTCCTTGTCATAGTCACCAACAACAACCACGAAACTGCCAGCACCATCAACGCAGTGCGCCGCTGACATGACCCACTTGGGCGAAATCAAGGCACCTCCACAGAAGTGAAACCCTGACGAATAACGAAGGCTCACCTGCCATCTCCATTCACAGTGGCTGGCATCCTGACCATTGACAATCTTCGGGCCGTTCACGCCATTGCGGGAAAAGCGCAAAGGGGTCGTGTCTTCCCCTTTCAAACCGCAGCTCCCCTGATTGCCCGAGCCACCAGTTGACTCAATTTCTGCCAGTGGAACCTGATCCAGCTTGACATCGGAGGAGCTACCCCAATAAATCACATAGTGGGACACTGTGCTGGGATCTGCTGCTGCCTCCACCACAATAGTGCCGGCAATCAACCCCTCAGTGGGGTCTTCATCCACAAACTGAACAGCCCCAGCTAGTGATGTGGGCCTGAAAGCATCGTTCAGCTCGACAGATGCACCTGTCAAGCTCTCACCCTGATCATTGAAGGCTCGCACTATCAGATGTGTAGCATCTTCTGGCAAGGATAGATTCTGAATATCCAGGACAGTCGCGCTGGACGAAGCTGCAACGACTTCCCCAATCAGCGCATTGTTGAGAGATCCGTGGCGCAATGCACTTTGAGGGATCACCACCCTTGAACCAGCAGTGTCTGGCCCACTGTATTCCAAGATCATTCCAGATTCAGCTAGGCCTTCAAAGTAATTGAGTTGCAGGCTGTGAAAGCCTGAAACAAGAGAAATCTCTCCTGTCGAAGACTGCATGCCATGAACTCCATCATTATCTACCACCAATGCTCCATTGATGAATAGCCTGCTGCCCTCGTCTGAGTCCAGCGTGAAGCGATACATGCCAGCCGCTTCGATCTTTACATAGCCGGTCCAGCGAACAGCGAAGTTGTCCTCAACGCTCAATCCTGGCCAGGCAGAAAGCGTCTGCGCCTGGAAGACTTGCAGGTCAATCTTCACCAGATCTGGGACCAAGGAGTCCATGTCTGGGATGCTGTCGGGGCTGTAGGACAAGTAGAAATACTGTCCCTCAAGTCCGGCAAATCCTGGAGCAATCAAGTGGGTGCTGTTGGAACCCCAATAGATGCGATACCCAGTGATGCCTGACACGCTCTGTCCAATTTCAAGGCTTCCTCCAATGTACCCCATGGCCAAATGTGTGTCACTGAAGCTCAAGTTGCCAACAGGGATCTCTTCTGGTGCCAGATCTTGAATTTCCACCGCCACGGAGGTGTCGCTTTCGGTGGAGTCGTAAGCTGCCTTCACGATGAAATGGCTACCTATGAGCTGTTGGCGCTCGAGTTGGACTTGCAAGTCGTGCAGATGCTCCGGCTTCGGGATCATGGCAATCAAACCTCAGAGTTCCATGATTTTCCATGGGGAAACCAGGGCCGCCTGGCTTTGGCAGAAAGAAAAACCGTCCCCACAGAAACGTGCAACAAAACCGGTGGGGCAATACCCACGCTGAGAGACTTGGAGAGGTGCCCTCAGAGCTCCCCAGGTAGGTGTATGAGAAGCTCCAGCCACCTGAGGTGACCGAGAAGTCTGAGACCCACTGCACTGCATGCGTACCATCCCCCAGCGACAGGGGCTCCGGGGTTGTGTATCCACTGAAGACATCCTGTGGGAAGTAGAGCTTGTCGCAACACGTCTCTGTGTTAAGTTCCAAGAACATGATCTCAGCAGGTCCGGTCAAAATGATGTCCGCACTCTCGTGATTATCGTAGCTGCCACGAGACACCACCCAGGAATTGCCACTGCCTCCAGCGAGGTCAAGAAAGTGGTAAGTGGCCATTCCCCAAACAAACCACAAACTCTCCAATTCGTTCACGGCAAAATCGTTTGGGGCCCACCTGTAATCTGGATGTCCGAGCAGGAAAGCCCGGTGCAGGAAGGCCTGGAAGTCGACAAGCGCCTCGCCGTGGAGTTGGAGATGTTCAAAATGTCTGTGGCGCTGGAGCCCCAGTAGACCTGAGCTTGGCAAGGTGCAGGAACCCAAAAAACCTCCCAGGTTCAGAGTGTGACAGAAAGAGGGAGGGGACTCTGAGGCGACCCTGGATTGTCCTGACCTTCGGGCTTTCCACGTGACCCCGCACCTTGTAGGCATTGATGCGGTCCTCGTTCTGTGCTCTCCGGATGGTGATGACCCCCTGTATCACCCCCGGTGTAGGATCTACATCATTGAAGCTCACAGCCTCTGCGGCCACCGTGGGCTGGACAAAGTCCAGCAAAGCGGTGCTGGTCGACAGCAAGGAGTCAAAACCCGAGGACGCCTCCAGCTTGGGACTTGTGTTTTATCAAGCACTTCAGCCTGAAAGGGGGGGTTGTGCCCTTTGAACAATTGGGTTACAAGCCTTCGGAGAAAATCCCAACCCGGCCTGTGCAAAGGCCAACAAATGAGTTGCACCTCCGGGCACAGCAGTTCCAGCTGGAATCGACACCTCCACATCGGCGCCAGTTTTGGGAGCGGTCAGGAAGGCCGGCCTGGCAAAAGTCCCATGCCTGGTCAACGCCCAAAGGCTCATGTCCACGAAGCCAGTCGCTGGGCCCGATGCAGAAACCGAGATGCCCGAGGCACCTCTGCACTGATAGTACTGCAGCTCCACCTGATGCAGCCCTGCGCTCATGAATTCATAGACCAAGGTCTGGCTGAACCCCGAACTTGCCGACATAGACAACACCTCAACCCCATCGATGAACAACTTGCAAGCGTCGTCCGCCGCAGCAGTGATCTGGTAGTCTCCATCTGAGTGCAAAAGAACAGGCCCCCCTTTTTGGACCCCCTCATACCCTTTCTAACGGCGACACAACACGTCACCGAAATGGGCAAGGATCCAAGCCTTTGGCAACCCCCAACCTGCATGGAGATAAAGCCAGCCCGTCCACCTGGCAGCAAAGAGCTCGCTGCTGTTCAGGCCTGGCCAAGCCGAAAAGCTGCCCCCTGGCCGTGAGGGGCTGTAGAGAAGGCTGGACTCAGACTGAGTCAAGAACGGCACTCGACTGGAGAAGTTCACCGCACAGTGGTGGCATGGGCACTCCTGTAGTGCAAAGAACTCCGCGTGCAAGCCGATGTTGCCGCCAGGCAACTTGGAGGTATTGCTCTCGCCCCAGTAAACGACATAACCACTTATCTCCGACTCATCCGCAACAGCGCCAATGGTGACAGTCCCGCCCACTGCGTTGGAGGATCCGTCGGTGTCCTCGAAGGTAATGCTGGCAGGAGCCACCGAAATGGTTGCATAATCCACCAGCGCCACGCCGGCTCCCGTGGCCATTGAGTTGTTTTCATAAGCGCTGACGACCACCAAGTGAGTTGCTCCGGAAGGTGCTTCTGAGCTGGGCAAATCGATGGCTCCCGTGACCGCGCGGGAGACCAAGCACATATCGGATGCTGTATTGCCTGAATCGCCGTAGCCATAGCCATAGACCGGACGACCAACGAGCTGGTTCATGTCGGTGACGTAGAATTGGCAATTGGCTAGCCCAGCCCCCACCGCCAACACAAAGCCAGTACACCCCGGCACAGAACTCAGGCAACGTTGCTCACATTGTGCGCGAAATGATGTGAGGGAGGGGTCCTCCAAGGAATTGGCTGAGCCGCCAAACCACAACCAGTCGACCACGGAGATGCCGTCAAACCACAGATCCGACCGAGAGCAGCTGAAAAGGCTGACCAAGTAGTGCCCAAGAGAGCCAAGACTGGAATCAGGGGTTGAAGCGCTGCTACCCCAAAAAAGGAGATACTGGGTGATGCTGGCTTCATCCACAGCTCGAAGAAAGTTCACCGTCCCGGCATACAAACCCGCCATCGGATTCACATCTGAAAAAGTCACATCGGAGGCAGCGGCTCTGGGCAGGGCATAATCAGAGAGAATCACTGCCACTGCCTCACTCTCTCCACTAGGCGAGGAGCCAACGGCAAGAAGGTGAGTCGCACGGGCTGGAAGGACAGTAGTCCCAAGACTCATTGCCAGCGGATCAGTGCCAGAAGTGCTGATCGATGCAATTGCATTAGTCTCAACTCCGTAGAAAATATCGGACACGTTGGCCCAAGCCCATGCTGTTTCTTGACCACTGTATTCCAGCACCAAAGTCGCATTTGTCCCGTTCGCCACGAAGAAATCAACTTGAAGGGCGTGTGTGCCGTTCGGCAGCGAGACTTGTCCTGTGCTGATCTCTTCACCAAATGCCCCGGAGCTGGCGTCAATCACCAGATCCCCGGCCACCCACACCTTGCAGCCATTGTCGGACAGCACTTTGAAGGAGTAGGTGCCCTGCACGGTGATGCGGAAGAAGCCAGTCCAGCGGGCCGCAAAGCCCACCTGGAAAGCCTCCGGCCACCCGAAATCCGACTGAAGAAAGCGCAGGCGCTCATGCACGCCTTCCGATGTAGGCTGCCTGCCATTGAGTGCAGGGAAAGTGCCATCCTGCGCGGAGGTGGGCCAACCTGTATTAAACATGTTTCAGCCATGCTTGTTTAAACCGGGCAACCATCCAGCCAGCCAAGCAACCAGGCCACCTGGCCATGCCAGCCAGCGCAACCAACCAAACGCCATCACTCAGGGTTCCGCTGGGGCCCTGGAAGTTTCAACCAAACCAACCCTCCTGCGCGAAAACGAAGAGCTGGTACTGAAGGCCCTGCAAGTCCCGGGCCAGTTTTTCAGAGGTGCCGCTGCCGAAGTACACCTATAGGTCTGTTTTGTGTCGTGGGTACCCTTTGGCGTGTTGGTTAAAGGGAAAAAGAGAAAACCACAATTTAGGTCCCCTACTTTGACACAAACCCACCTTGTACTCGGTGATGCTCGACTCATCTGCTGCCCTACCAAGCGTAATCAATCCAGCAATGCTCCTCACTCCCTCATCCGTGTCCTGAAACGCAATGGAGCTGGGGACCGCAGAGGGAGGCGCAAAATCGGAAATGGCCACCCAGGCTGCTGCAGACTCTGCACCTGAATCCAACTTGCACAGCACCAAGAAATGATCTGCGCTGGGAGCAGTGCCGTGCGGCAGCGACACCGCGAGCAAACCGGGGGAGAAGGTAACGCCACTCTCGCCCACTGGGCTCCCTCCCGACACGCTGAAAGGCATGTTCGTAGGAAAAGTGTCTGTGCTGGAACTCAAGACCGTGCTGCCAGACGTCAGGGTCCACGAAATCTCCGAGGGCCAGCCGCCCTGAGTCACTGTCAGAGTCAGCGTCTCGGCAACCGGGACATTGTCAATGGTGTGTGTCTCAGAGTAGCCACTGGTGAATGTGCCCTCGGCGATCAGGTCCCCGGTGCCTGTTCGGATGTAGTAGTAGGCATTGTTCCATCCGTCACCATATGAATCCTCAGAAGAGCTGCCATAGCAAAACGTAATCGTCACCCTGTCTTGTTTGTTGGTTGAATTTCAACAACCTTCCCCAGAAAGGTCAGAAGCATCCGTTCCTTTTTAGTGCTTGATTTTTAGGAAATCCCCGCAAAACAGTCAGGAAAACAAAAAAGAAGGCCGGGAATCGATCATCTCGAAGGTTATGGTAGTGGTGGTTCCCGATGTCAGCGGCACTTCCCGCAGGAGGCTCAACCGAGTGGGCTCCGGCAGGGCGCCGCCCTGCGCCCAGTACAACTCGTAGGCTTGGATGCTCGCCTGAGACAAACACTCGTAGGGTTGGTGTGAATTCGGATTTCGGGCCCATTTGGTGGACATTGTGGGATTTATGTTGGGAGGTCGCGTGGGAAAGCCATGAGCTTAGGCATCTCTTTGACTCTCTTGCCAGCTTGCCTCCTGGATTGCTCGCTGAATCGTGATGGTACCTGAACATGCAATGAAGCGCTTCACAAATCCCGTCCAACCCAGTGGCTTTTGGCGAGATCTGAGACTTGTACTTCACAGCCACCCTTTCAGAAAGTTTATCGGATGTGCCAGGCATACGGCAAACTGGTTGCTGTGCGTTTCCTTGTAAATCCCGGGGACAACAGGGAGAAGCAACCCCCATTCCCCGCCAGGCCTCCCAAAGAGTTCAATCCAGAATCCTCGTCCTGGAACGCAATGTCTCCAGGCGAATCCAGCGTGTTGAAATCCAAGCCGGATGTGGCCTCAAGGCAAAACTACCAGCCAGGCATGTTCTTATTGATTCAAAGGGAAAGCAAGGAGAAACATGCCGTGTGTGTTATAATGTTGACCTATGATTAATAAATAGGTGGCACCCACCCCCCGAATGACCCTAAATAAAGATTAGGGGAGAATTTTCAGGGTCGGGATTTGTTTAAAGGAGTTTAGTATTGGGCTCTGATTTTTTGGTTTTCGAATACTACTTTAGAATTGGGCCAATTCAAAAGTAGTATTGGGCATGTTGTGTTTTCTTATTTTGCTTTGGGGGAATACTAGTTTAGAATTGGGCCAATTCTAAAGTAGTATTGAACCAAGAACTTTTGCATGCATTTCATGAGGGTTTGCATGGGCTGGCATGCAGTCCAGGAGGGATTGAGAAAGACATTCATGAGCGTTTGAGTGGGCTGGCATGCATTCCAGGAGGGATTGGGAAGGAAATTCATGAGGGTTTGCATGAGGAGGGATTGAGAAGGAAATTCATGAGGGTTTGCATGGGCTGGCATGCATTCTAGGAGGGGTTGAGAAGGACATTCATGAGGGTTTGCATTGGCTGGCATGCATTCTAGGATGAGGTTTGGAGCACTGACCCTGAATAAAGATTAAATGCCAGAAGCATGCACATCCCATGGTACATCAGGTTTTTTCTTGCATGATCCCTGGATAAATTCACTATGAAGCCATGCAAATCCCATGGGGGATGATGGTTTGGAGCACTGACCCTGAATAAAGATTAGATGCCAAAAGCATGCAAATCCCATGGTAAATCAGGTTTCCCTGGCATGATCCCTGAAACATGTTCTATGAAGACCATGCAAATCTCGTGGGGGATGAGGGTTGGGAGCACTGACCCTGAATAACAAATATGCATTTTGCATGGATTCCAATGGGAATTCTAGAGTTCTTTCGTGAGCTGGGGAACTGAGGATTCATTCATTCATGTGGGGGGAAGGTTATATGATTGAATTAATTTATATGATGTTGTCATCTTTTCATATTTGTTCACCTGGGAAAAACGGTTAGCATTATTTATGGTATATCTATTATTTCTATCGGGCAGTCGGTTAGCATTATTTATGGTATATGTACTAATCGTAGGTCAACATTAGTCGTCAGGGAGATTTTGTTTTACTCATTTGCTCAAAGGACCTGGGAAAAATGCGAACCTTTTGGCGTCATGACTCAAATGGACAAAAACTGGGCGAAAAGTCGACTTTGGGCAAGTGAGATTCTGGGAAAGGGATTCAATGGAAAAAGGGCTGTGGTGATTGGGGTGTCACAAACTGCGTTCAGAGTGGTAGATGTTTCTCCAACAGCGACAGCTTTGAGGCTTTGAGGTTTTCTTTGGGGCGATCCAGGGGCAGGTTCCGGTTCCAGGCAGTCGGAGGCATGGGCTGATTTTCCATCGGCCAGGAGCCAGAACCCATCCCCAGAACAGCCCCCATGTCGGACATTTGGTATTGAAAGCTTTATACGTATCAGGGCCTATAACCACATACTGTGGTGATACAAATGGGAAGCGTGTGCTCAAAGCCGGTCCGCTTTTATACCATAAGGGACAGCTCTGAATGAGTGGCTGTCTTTCGGTCTCCCTTCCAAAGCCTTCAGCCCAATCTGAAAAGGGTACCCCCGCAAAAGCACAAACCCACATGCCCCCGTCCCCTCAGTCCGCAGCCACTCCAGTTTGTGCTTCTCCTTGAGAGCCCTCCACCAAAACCAGGATGCTGGATGCTGAGGCCGGCAGTAGTGCGCCGCTCAGCGAGTGTGTCTTAGATCCGACAACTCTCAACTCTCCATGGCTGACATTCCCAAAAGGTCGGTTGGATTGAAAAAGCGTCTTGACTTCCCCAATGCCAGAGCAAGAACTCTTAGACAAATTCCCGCAGGAGGAAACTCAACTGGGATGAAACCATCAACTGGTGCCGATCGGATCGGGTGGATCTTGCTTCCAAGAAGCCAGTTCCGAGGCTCCAGAGGCTGGAAGCTTCTGGATCAGCTGAAGCGCGATCCCATTGTGACTGAAGTACAGGTTGTAGGAGACCTGATTTCATGTGTGTGTGTGTGTGTGTCTTGTGTGTGTGTGTGTGTCCGTGTGTGCGTGTGTGTGTGTCTCTGTGTGTGTTTGTGCGCGGGCGTGCGTCCATGTATGCATGTATGCATGTATGCATGCATGTATGCATGGATGCATGGATGCATGTATG